GGGGACGCGACGCCCGGATGAGTGCTCGACTCCGATGGCGGCAGCGGAGGCGACGGCGGCGGCGGTAGCGGCCGCGGCGACAGCGGGGACGAGGCAGCGCGACGTCAGCGCGCGCGGGGAAGGCCGGGAGCGCCGACGGGCCGCCACGCGCTGCGCCTGCGCGCCGCCGCCCGCTAGGACTGATCTCGCGCAGGGGTCCCAGCATCGCGCGGCGTGGGCGGGGCCGGGGCGCGCCGGGAAGTCACGTGGGCTGCAGCGGAGCGATACTGCCCCCAAGAGGCACGTGCGGGCATAGGCTGTGAGCCCCGGGATGTGAAGAAGGGGAGCCAGCAGTGCGGCCACCCGCCTAAAGCCCTCACTCAGGCTGGGATCCAGTCGACCCTGCTGCTCGCCCAAAAGCCCCACCGACATCCCTCAGAGGGGCCCTGGGTTCTTGGGGCGCTCCTTCTGGGCTTCCTGAGTTTTGTTTGTGGCCTAGCCTTCTGCAGCGGCTGTCCCCCCCCCCGGAGCCCTGGGCTCCAGCATCCCTGAGGGTGCTGCTTTGCACACGCTCTGTTGAGTCCCCCAAGGAGCTCCCCAGTTGATAGCTAGTTTGCATGTTACATTCTTGACCCCGGATTTCACTACAGGGAGGGAAAGCGGGTTCAGCCCTGCACTGTACCCGAGACCAGGAGCCACAAGGGGCCTTTTGGTCTGTGTTCAAAGATGGACAGCCCCTTCCTGGCTCTAACTTCCTGAGGGGAGCCCAGGTCTCATTCCCAATCACTCCCACCCCACGCAGGGCGCCCAGCCTGCATACCCACCCCCAGATCCTGGGCCCCTGTAGTGGCCACTGTCCACCACGGCTTCCTCTTCAGCTCTGGCAGGTGTGATGTCTTCCGGAGGCCCTGATCTGTGTCCTGTCCTCCTCCTGCTGGGAGAGAGAGTCCGGAATGCTGGCTCAGGGTGGGGTGACAGGCAGGGTCATCACGGGAGCCGTCCCCCAAGCAGGGCCCAGCACGTGGCAGCAGGCAGGGTGGATGGGGACTGCTGGGATCACTGTGGGATCCCAAGACAGGCTGAGCTTGAACGGCACTGCAGGGACAGCATGGGTGGTGTACCAGCAACATCCCTCTCAAATGCGGGGGAGGTGTGGACAGCACCAATGGGTGGTTGGCCACGTGGGAGGACTGCTCCGCCAAACCCTCATCACTGGCTTCCCTGGGGCCCTGCCTGCCTGCCAGGTGGAAAAGTCAGGCTGGGCACAGGCTAGGAGGCACGTGATGCCCGAGATGAATCTGGGTCCAGTGGGACTTTGATGTACTTGGGCCATCGGCAGCTCATACCACGATGAAGTTTGTGCATGTGGGTCCAAAAATGAATGGCACACATCCAGAAAAGCAACAGACATGGAGAAGACACACAGGGATGGTGGCTGACAGCAAGATTGCTGAGGGGCGGGGCCATGCATCTCAGGGGTGGAGCAGGGGGACACACATCGGGCAGTCCTCCTGGGCCCAGAACGCTCTTCCGACCCAGGACCAGGAGAATCCCTGTGGTCAGAGCCTGGACGGTCAGCCCTCTCGGAGCCCCTGTTCCTCTCTCCCCAGGTGATGTCCCTCAGGCAGGAGAGCACAGTGATCAGGACTGGGGTTTGGGGCCACACAGCAGGTATGGGTCCTTCACCCACCTGTGCTCCCTTCTCTGCTGTGGGAGGAACAGCCCCACTCTTTCAGGATTAGCATGAGGCATAAACGAGGCATGTGCACCCTTGGCATCAGGCCAGACCCACAAACACCAGCTGTTAGCTGCTCACTTCACCCGCAAATGCCCAAGCAAGCTGAGCCAGCCTTGAGCTTCGGTGATTTCTTGGATGCAGCACGCCGGTCGGGGGGCTGTATGAGTTCTCCGTGCCTGCTCTATAAAGGACCTCAAACTGAGTGGCTTAAAACACCGGAGATTTATTCTCTTCAGTTCTGGAGGCCAGAATCCAAAATTGGTTTCCCTGGGCTGAAATCCAGATGTGAGCAGGGCCGCACTCCCTCCAGGGGCTTCAGGGGAGGGACCTTCCTGCCTCTTCCAGCTCCTGGTGGCCCCAGGTGTCCTCAGCTCTCTGGCTCCTCCTCACATGGCCTTTTCCCGTCATCGGAGGCAGGGCCCACCCACATTCAGCATGACCTCATTTTAACTTCATTCTATCTGCAAAGACCCTATTTTCAAATAAGGTCACATTCAGAGGTGCACAAATTTTGAGAGACACTATTCAGCCTGGTACAAGGGTCACAGGTGATGTCAGCTGGAAAATTTGGAGGCGAGCATCCAGGGGCTGAGCTGGGTTCCACTCACAATGTGGAAAGAGTGGCCCCCGAAACTAGAGGACTGAGAAGCGGTTATGCAGGCTGCTGGCTAGGGAAGGTGCAGGCCGGGTCTGAGAGCCACCACCCGGCCCACCCCAGGCTGCCACCCCATCAGCTGGGAAACCTGGCAGTGCTCTGTGCTGACCATGGCCATGGAACAGAGTGAAGACCGCCCAGAGCAGGGCACAACCTGGGTCCCAGCCAGCAGGGTATGTAGGGCCCCAAAACAACCTGAATGCAGGGACTACACGGGCCAGGACCAGAGCTGAGGCCACCCTGACCAGCCCAGGGGGAGGCCTTTTTGCCTGCTAGGCCAGTCACAGAGTCTGGAGCTGAGTGTCCTCTAACTGCAGAGAGCCACTGTCATGGTCCAACCATGAAGGGGGTGGGAGAACCTTTCCCAGTCTCGCTCTCCTAGCCCAGCGCCTCTAAGACACGGAGGTCAGGGCCCTGCAGGTTGGGAACAGAGCAGCTCCTGGTATAGGGGGGTGGGGGTGGGGGCTCAAATGACACTGACCAGCTCAGGCTTTGGAAGAGCACGGGAACCTGGGGCAGCGGTGGCTCGGCTTTAGGGCCGGTGCTGGGACCCAGGATCTCCCACTGCCTCGGACACTCCACACCTGTCCCCACCTGACTACTGCTCATCCTTTGGCCTCAGGGAGCAGCCAAGCCCATGCAGGCACATGGCACGGGGGGCCCGCCTGCCTTACGTGTCAAATGTCAGAGAGAGCCCACCCCATCCTCGATCCTCCACCTAAGGCAGGCCCCCCTCCTGCTGTATTCCGGCCATGCCCAGCCAGAATGGGATTTTTCTAAACGTTGCTAGCTAGCATTAAAGAGGTTTTTTATTTATCTCAAAAGCATACACTCACGTGGTTAAAAACCTCATTTTTGAACTCAAAGGTACAAGGTGGGCGGCAGAAGGTACCACTGCTGTCCCAGGTTCACTCCTGAGGGATCCGGGGTTCCCTGTACCCTCCGCCCAGGCTGCCCGTGTAAGTGTAGGTCTGCCTGTCACCCGCCCCACTATTCAACCAGCACATGGCTGTCCCACTGAACATCAGCGCCCACTCCCCACTGCCCATGTCCCTGCCAAGGTCATTCCCAGGCCATTCAAGTTCCAGTCTCGCTGTAGTGAGTGTCCTGACCCTGGTGCACAGGCACACCTGAGCAAGGACACGTAGAGCGAGGTTCCTGTGCAGAATCACCAGGTCAGAGGGCCCTCTCATGAGCCACCTTCATGATGTTGGATCTTGCAGATCACCACCAGAAGAGGTTGTGCCCATTAGCCAGCAGGGACACCTTCACTGGAGCTGGGGGGCGGGGCCTAGAGGCTGGTGGCCCTGAGTTCAGGTGACCACCTGGCTGGAGTAATCCACCGCCCCAGGTGTTGGATGTGGCTCACCCAAGAGCTGGCCTCTGAGAGCCTGCAAACAAAGACCCCCATCCACTCAATGGCATCTGCCACTCCCTGGTCACCTCCGCAGCTAAATGCCAGGCTCCTCCGGAATCAGCGGCCTTCTTCAGGAAGCCGCCTCCTCTGTGCTTCCTGTGGAGCTGCGTCTTCCCCACAAAACCTGCTTGTGTCCTCGGGGCACCCCCTGCTCCCCTCAGGAGTGACCTTGGCGTGCTCCTGTGACACACAGCCTCCTCTCCAGACATCTGATTGGGTCATTCACTCCAGAAGTGTTACATGCCCAGGCCAGCGACTGGTGCCCAGCAGCCTCCCCTGTCCTCAGCGGGCATCCCTAGGCTCTGCCTTCTCTGCCCGACTTCCCCGAGGGCCTGGCACCCCTCTCCCTGCTTCTCCAGCAGCCAAGGGCACTGTCTTAACTCTACTCTGACAAGGGCACCTTGTGCTTCAGCACAAACTGTCATCTGTCCCCAAAGACAGCGCCACGTGGTCTGGTGCCCCGGCATCTTGAGGGGTGGGGTCAAGATGTGGACACACCTGCCTGGTGGCCAAAGTGACAGCTGGAATAGGGCTGCTCGGCAACCCCGTCCCAGCTCAGGTGGCACTGACCTTGGCAGAGACGAACCTTGGCACCTGCTGCAAAAGCTCCTTGCACTGCCCTGGCGAGGAGAAGCGCCTCCTCTGGGGACCAGGAGGGCAGCTCCCAGCCCGGAGGCCCAGCGGGACCTGTTCCCCGCCTCCCGCCATCTCGCTCTCAGGCCCTATCTTGCCATTTACCACTTAATACCAGGCTCCCGCAGGCAGAACACGGACCCTCTGTGATTTCATGTTCACGCCCAGGCCCCCGCTGGAGTGAGGAGTGGCAGTGGCGACTGGCCAGAGGAGTGGGCAGCTGAGATTGGTTCCAGGGGGTGCAGGGAGGCCCCAAGCCCCCAACACATGCTCCTTTGTCCCATTGGATGTGACTTTACAAAGCAAATGTAAACACAAAGGATGTCAAGGTGGGGCCTGCAGAGCTGTACCCCCAAGCACTGGGTGCAACGCCGCGAGGCCAGCTCTGGTTTGAGGGGCCCCAGGATGCCATGAGGACTCTCCACTGAGGTTCCCAAAGAGGGGGGGATGACAGGAGCTAGTGTGGCCAGAATGGGGGTGGAGGGCAGCACCAGGAGGGTGAACAGGGGCCAATGTGATAAGGCCCTGCATCAGACAGCAAGGGCCACAAGTGGCCTGGAAGGGTGGGGCCTGGATGGCTGGGCCAGGGGCCTGGGAGGGCGGCAGGAGTGAGGGTGAGCAGGGCCAGCCCTGGAGAGGGGACTGGGACCTGGCCCGGCTGGGGGAGCGGCTGGCACCTGAGGGGCCCTGGGGGCAGGTAAGGAGAGTCAGGCTAGTGAGAGACACCACTGCTCTCTCCTCGAGTGACTGTCCTGGGAAGGGAAGGCCCTCCACATGGCATGGCCTGCTTCTTTTCATGCCCAGCCATCATTCGTCCCCTCCTGTCAGGTGACGCATCTCGACATTCGTCTGGGGAGCTAGCAGAGTCACCACATGCCTGCTGAGCCTATGCTCAGCCCCTGCCCCAAACAGTGCCTCCTTGTAAGCTCGAAAATCACGAGTGTTAGGGACCCAGAGAGACAGAAGGACAGACGTAAGCCGCTCACCCCCGGAGCTGTTCCTACGTGGAGTGGGGAATGCGGGCTAGCCTCCCTCCCTGGAGCCCCACCCGTGGGCAGTGAGTGCCCTGATCTGCCTGCCCTTCCTGAATCTGACCCCACAGGGCCCTGGATCCCTGGGCTGCGTATGGGGCCAGAGATGGGGCCTCCCAAGTCTCCAGATGAGGCTCAGATGCTCCCTGAGAGCAGGGTCGGTCGGTGGACGTCCTGGGCTCTTGCAGGACTGTGGGGTCAGAAGGCTGCTGCTTACCCTGTCTCCTCCCTGCACACCACGCCTTCCGTCCATCCGCAGCCTAATGACTCAGCTCCCAGGGGCACCTGGGCTTGGGCAAGGACGGGGAAGGAACCAGGCTCAGCTGTGCTGAATGGTCTTCAGGGAGAAGCCAATTGTCCTGCCCAGGCCTGGGGCCATGCATGCCAGGAAATAACCTGAGTTAACAAGCCTGAGGCCATGAGGGCTGGGCCACCTGGGCAGCCCTGAAGCTAAGGGCCAAACAGCTGCGCTCGGGCCCTCAGCTGGGTTAAGGGCGGGTGGGCCCAGCCTCAGAGGTGGCGAGGAGCCCTGCTGCGCTGCCTCAGCTCAACTCTTCCTGCGCCCCCTGCTGGCATCTCCCGGCTCTGCCCACAGCTCTGTCCCTGGCTGGCGAAAGGCAGCCCAGCTGCTGGGGGCTCACAGGCTCCATGGCCCCCCACAAGGGCACCTGTGGCAATGACCCTGAGGAACACAGCCAATATCGGTGCCTCACCAGCTCCCTCTGGGTGCTTCCCACGGTGACCCCAAATAAAGCACTTACAGCCCAGCCTTGGTGTCTGAACCTGCCCTGGAGAGCTCACCCTGATTCAGGGGTGGAGGTGGGAGGTACAGAAACAGTCCTCTAAGGGTGAGATGAAATAAAAATCCATCCTTTCCCTCGCTTCCCACCCTTCTTTCCACAAATCTTTGAGACACTGTGGCCGAGGCCCCTTCCAGGCTCTGAGGACCCCACGAAGAACCACAACACTCGTGGTTCACACCCTCTCACGCTGATCGCCCTGGCTGCCTATGGCTGACTCAGCCCAAACTTAGTGCCAGCCGTGCCCACTTGTGCTGACGCTGCGATGCTTCATCTGGCTTCTGGTGGCAGCTGAAAGGACAGCTCCTTCATACCCATCAGCGAGGAGCCCAGCTGCAGCACCTGGTCATAGTGAGGTCCCTGAGGGAGCTCGGGCCGCCAGCTACGCATGGTGGGGGGCCCAGCGCCAGGTGGGTGTCCGCCTTCCTACCCCTTCAGCCCACGCCTGCTCTTGCTGCATTCCTGCTCAGTGGCCCCTAACACATTGCCTGCCACCCTGTGGCCACTTGCCAGGATTTGCTGCAGGAAATCAGGTGGCTCAGGCCTCTGATAGGAGAGGGCTTCGGGACTCGCTGGGACACTGGCAACATTAGGACTGAGCTGCTGGTGTAGCCAGATTGGTGACAGGATGTCCTGGAACGGAGGTCGGCAAACTGCGGCTCGCGAGCCACATGCGGCGCTTTGGGTACGTACATGTGGCTCTGAAGCAAAACTGAAAATGAACATAAAACTATCGTAGTTTCATTTATAAAATTTTTAAAGGCTATTATTCACATAATGATGATTTCATTTGTTTTATGGCTCTCGAATAATTTTTAAATTGTTGTGAGGGACAGGACTGGCTCTTCCGTCTCAAAAGCTTGCCGACCCCTGTCCTGGAGGGTGAGGTGGCAGTCTACCCACGCCCCACCCCCACCCCACCTGCGGGGGCATGAGGCACAGGTGTGGGCCGGTATATAGGAGCACCGGCTCCCGGCTGCTTGGTCTGTGTGGCTCGTGCAGCTCCGTGTGGTAGGTGAGTGAGGGCAGCTGGGGCTGGTGCCGCCATGCCCGGGGTGGGTTATGAACCTCTTCTCCCAGCTCCTTTGGGACTGTAGCACTGCCCACCCTGCTGGCCTGGACCTGGGGACCCCATCCCCTATTAGCAATGGCCCTGTGCAGCCTGGTTCTCTTTTCATTCTTAACTAACTTGTTTTTAAAAAGGCTGACACGCTGAGAGCCCCACAGTGGGCTGACCGGATGGGAACCACATGGAAGAGTGTGAGGGATGACGGGTTAGGGCCTGAGCAGGGAGGTGGGGTGCATTCCTGGCGGGGACTGTAGGGGTGGAGGCCTGGCACCCCATCCAATCGCCCTCTGGCCGCTTCTACGCCAGAGCCTTTGGGTCCTTGGGACCCCGCCCTGCCCACCTAGAAGCCCCAGCCCTGCTGAAGTCACATCCCTTCACCACCTTCCCTAACTGCTGGACTGGGGAACTGGGGTCCCTGGACTTGGACTGGTTAGCAGAGACCATGTGGCTGTGTCCAGGTTTGAGGAAAGCCACTCAGGGAAGGGGGGCTTGGACCTGGGTCTGGAGCTCCCCAGACCGGGACCCAGGGTTCTACTTCAAATGGGAAAACTGACCTTGAAATGTGCCTGATTCCAAAGCTCCTCCCGAGGCCAAGGGAGGTTAGGGAGGTGGTGGCCCATTCAGGACTAGTCCCCTCCCCAAAGCCTTGGGAACCTCGGGAAGGGTGCAGCTCCCTCTGGCCCCCTCTTTGTGGCCTGTGGTGAGAGCTGCCCACAGGCCTGCTGAGGGACCCCTGCTCCACCTGCTGGGCACAGGGATGTCTCAAGCCCCCTTTGGTTCCAGGGTTCAGAGCAGGCGGACATCTAGGTGACCAGCTCCAGGCCCAGGCCCAGCCCTTCACTAGATGCCCCTGCATCCTCAGGCTGCCATGTCATCCCATGAGGGGGTTGTCCCTCCCCCCCCCCACCCCGTCCCGGGCAGCACTTACTACACAGTTCAGATCGCCTGGAACCTTCTGCTTTCAGAGGCTGACCCTGGCGCCAGGCCTGGGAACCCCGCGCTGCCAGCTTCCAGCATCACCACGCCAACAGCTTCGCTCCTCCCTTCTCGCCCCCAAGGTCCTGGAGCCAGTGCCGGCCCTTTGCCGCCTTGGGAGGGGTCTCCGGGCTCTGGCCTCTCCCTCCTTGTCCCCGGAGGCACTGCCCACCTCTGTCTACTGGAGGGAGCCCTGTGGCCCCCGCCGCCCCGCCTGCTCGGGAGACGCATGACACCCCCCCGCTGCAGAGAGCGCGTGATGCTGGCTGCCACCCTGGCCCCCTCCGGGAAGCGGCGGTCCCCCCGGTCCCCCTGGCCCCTCCCCAACCTGGGGCACTGTCCCGCCCTCTTCTCCCTGCTGTTCGAGGCAAAAGCCACCGCTGACCCCAGGCAGGGCCCAGGGGTCAGGAGCCCTGGGGCAAGCCGAGTGGGCACATTCCGGGACTGGCTGTCCAGGGGCCTCGTCACTGCAGCGGAACTGGTCAGCGCTGGTTTTTCCTCCATGGAGCCCGAGGACACAACCCAGTGCTGGGGCTGGAGCCCAGAGCTGTGTCGCTGGGCAGCTAGAGGCAGCCCCACACGGGGGCACTGTGTACCCCACACTCTGTGTGGCCATGTCCTGGGAAGGGATGCTGGGAGTGCCCTGTCCTGGGGAGGCCAGGACCACGTGGACGGGCAGATCCTGGGCCAGCTTCAGCCCCTGATGGAGGAGGAAGAGGAGGCGGGGGCCGGGGCTGCCCCATCTGCGAGGCCCGCCTTCCCCGAGATGAGCTCCCATGAACTGCGGCTGGCCTCCTTCTATGACTGGCCTCTGACGGCTGTGGTGCAGCCCGAGCTGCTGGCCGCTGCTGGCTTCTTCCATACTGGTGAGTCCCGCGGGCCTGGGTGCCAGTCAGGGCCCCTTTGGACTGAGGGAGCCCAACCACAGCAGGGAGGGTCCGGGCCTGATGAAGATGGGGCAGGGGTCCCACAGCCTTTCACATCTGCCCCCAGCCCTGGAGTCTGGGCACATGCTCCAGACTGTGACAACGGTACTTGGGGGGGGGGTGCAGAACACACAGGACAGTCGGGCTCTGGCAGGGTGGTCAGTGGTGGGACAGCTGGAGCCGCGAGGAGGAACGTCTGTGGGCCCCTTGGGGGTCCAGGGACAGGCTCTCAGAGGTGTGGTGGTGGGACATGCCTGTAGCAGCCACCATCTGCAGTCTGCACCAGGTGACAAACCTGTAGATGGTGGGGAGTGAGGCGGAGGTGGGGGCCACCAGGGGATAGAGAGAAGAGGGACCCCCCACCACCCAAATGGAGGTTTGAGCCTGGCAGTCAGCCTCCCCTTCTCTCCAGCACTGGGGAACTATCCTGGGGAGGTGGCACCTGGGTAGAGGTGACAGGGGGGTGGGGTACTTCCAGCCCCACCTCCAAGGCTCCCCGATGCCCCTTCCCCACTGCCTGCCTTCCCATGAACCATGCAAATGTCCGCTCCATTCCTTTCACGAATGTTCTCAGTCCTGGCTATCGTCCAGGCATCGTTCTCCCGATTTCACATTTGAGAAAACGGGTGCACATGAAATCTGAGAACGCTGAGCAAGGGGGGTGACAGGCCAGTGGGAGCCCCCAAGGCTCTCGATTAACCTCCGAGAGCCCCTGACCCTTAAGGAAAGACCACCTGGGAGCCCCTGTCTCCAGCCTGGGGGACATACCTGGCCTAGCGGAAGTGGCCGGGTGTGGGCAGGGCCAGTATCTCTGCTCCTCACAGGCCAACAGGACAAGGTGAGGTGCTTCTTCTGCTACGGGGGTCTACAGAGCTGGGAGCAAGGGGATGATCCCTGGACTGAGCATGCCAAGTGGTTCCCCAGGTAAGGGCCCTGCAGGACTCCGCTGTCCGGGGGGGCGTCTGGTCTCGGGATGGGGACTCCTCTGGAGATGGCACTTCTGCTGTTTCTTCCTTGATGCTCAACAGAGGCGTCTTCCAAAACAGCCTTCTCTGCAAGTGCCCACCACTCAGGGAGCCCCAGTTGCCCTCTGCAGGGCACTGTGAGGGAGGCAGGAGTGGAAGGCAGGGCCCCAGCCCCAGGGCCTTCCCAGCACCTGGACTTGACTGAGGGGGTTCTCTGGTAGCCCAAGCCCACATCCATGCGGCATCGAACTCACTCTCTTCAGGTGTGAATTCCTGCTCCAGACAAAAGGAAGGGACTTTGTCTGCAGCGTCCAGGAGTCTTGTTGCCACCTTCTCAGCTCCTGGGTGAGTCCTGCCACTCCTTAGGGCTGTGGGGTCCAGATGGGGGGTCTCTCCCACCCCTGCTCCTCCGTGTACTCAGGACACAGATGTTCTCTGGCTCCTTCCAGGGCTCATGGGAAGAACCAGAAGACACAGCCCCCAGCAACCACTCAGGTGAGCCGTGGCCCATGCTCTGCCCCCTTGGGCACCTGCAGCCTGCACTGTGACCAAGGCCTTTGGGTGTCCCCCTGATGCCGGACAGCAGGGAGAGTGAAGTCTGCTTGCCCGGGTGTGAGGGTGCTGTCTGGGCTTATTTCACGGGGGCTGCGCGTGTGTGTGTGTGTGTGTGTGTGTGTGTGTCCGTGTCCGTGTCCGTCCGTCCAGGGCTCCAGGTGAGGCCAAAGCAGTGCCCTGCAGCATGGGCATGGCCAGTCCCAGGGCAGGTGACAGGAGCACGGAGAGGAGTGCACCGGGTGTGCTCAGCTGGGGCAGCCACCAGCCACAGCCCAAGCCAACCCGGCTGCAGTCGCGAGCCCACAGAGGAGCCAGCTGCTCTGAGCTGGGCTCTCCACGACTGGGCCTTGTGCGGCGGGGGGTCGAGGGGCTCCAGGGACTCCAAGGTTCAGATCTGGCTCTTCTATCTGACTCTAGAGCAAGGAACTTTTGCTTTCAGAGCCACATGCCCTGAGGTGTCAGGTGGGGACAGTGTCAAGCCCATCTGCAATTAAACAGGGTCCATATGATGCTCGGGGAACAGCTCCTGGCACTGGGGCTCTGTCCGCAGGGGCTTTGCTGGCCATTTCCTGCTCTCCCTGCTTGGCAACTCCTCTGGGAACACAGCCCCTCTCTTGAGAGGGTCTGGCTCTTTGCAGCACCTCAACATCATGGACGCTGATGGAGCGGCCGTGATGGCAACAGAGGCCCCTTGTGTTGAGGTGGCTCTCGTGATTGGCCTTTCTCATGATGCCCAGGTCCTGGTCTCCCCTTGCTTTGCAGATGCCAGGGGTAGCCAGGAGCAGTCTGAGTGCAGCTGGCAGGTGGCACTCCCAATGGGCTTTGGGTGGGGTCAGTGAAATGGATGTGCTGCTGGGCAGTGCCAGTCATTATGTCCACATCGCAGCTGTTGGCCAACCTGCTCCAGGAAGAGAACGAGGGCTGGGCGGCGGGGGTCAGACACCTCCGTTCTGTACACAGCGCCCGCCTCCCTCCTAGTTCCTGCCCTGATCATCACTTCTGGGCTCAGCCCCCTCACTGCCCCCACAATGCCTGGCAGACACAGCACGTGTGGCTACTGCACGAGGGGCTGGACGGGTAGAGTGCCCTGCAGAGTGGGCTGTGGGCATTCTGAATGCTGAGGTACGAATGGTGTCAGGAGCGTGGGCTGGTACTGTCTCCTCTGTCGGAACTGGACTTTGCGGTGGCCAGCTCTGTCTCTGGACCTAGCCTCACTTTCCCCTGGGGGGCCTAGGTCTCAAGCCTATTCCTAACTGCCCACAGCTCCTGTCCACCCGGGCCCTGAGCTGCCCATGCCCAGAAGAGAGACCCAGTTGGAGGGTGCCAGGGAGCCAGGTGAGGGCAGGAGCCACCTGGGGACGGGGCCTGCGCTTCTGCATTCTGGGGTGGGAGGGGTGGGCGCTCCTGGGGCTGGTTGATGCCAGATACTGTGTGTGGCTCCGGTCCACCTCCTCCATCGGCCCAGTACAGAGGTAGTCAGGGTGTGGGGCGGTGTCACGGGCCCTCTGTCTTAGGGGAACCAGGTGAGGCGCAGGCCCAGCGGTGCCTGAGGGTTTTGAGCCCCCAGCAGCCCGGGACACAGAGGAGCAGCTTCGGCGCCTGCGGGAGGAGAGGACCTGCAAGGTGTGCCTGGACCGCTCCGTGGGCATTGTCTTCGTGCCCTGCGGCCACCTGGTCTGTGCTGAGTGTGCACCCAACCTGCAGCAGTGCCCCATCTGCAGGGCCCCTGTTCACAGCCGCGTGCGCACCTTCCTGTCCTAAGCCAGGTGAGTGAAGCTTCCTTGCTGGGCCAAGTGAGCGTTTGGCCACAGAGCTACCCACAGGCAGGTCCCAGTCCAGCCTGACATGGGTGTTTGAGATGTCAGACGGGCCTGGACAGTGAGGCCAGGCACGCACAACACTGCCGTCCTGGGGCAGGCCTGGCATTGTTGGGACCTGAGGCTGCAGGAGGCGGCACTCCCTCCACTGCAGCCCCGGCACATGTGCCCGGCAAGCCCGTTACACCCCTTAGCTTCTTGCTCTGAACCTGCTCAGCACACCACCCTGGGGCCACTACCATTCGGCTTGGGCACATTGAACCACACCTGGAGGGCACATCTCCACCTCGATCTTCCTCGTAGTCAGGAGCAATGCCTTCTGTCCAGCTTGGCACCCAGGGCTGTAGCCACGCCAAAGGGACGAGGGCATTGGTGGCGTGTGGAAAACACACGGTGGGGGGAGGGGCTGGTTATGAGGAAGGGCCCAGGACCCTGGACGGGTCCTTAACCTGGGAGCCCAGGCTGGTGGAAGTGGGCGGTGGGCGGTCTGTGTATAGACCTTTGGTTCTCACAGAAGGGGGGCAGGAGCCTGGCCTTCTCAGGGTTCTCAAGGGCCCGTGTGCCCCACGATCACCCCATGAATCTTCCAGGGCTAGAAGTGTTAGGGAAGGGAACTCCCTGGGGCTGAGGGTCCCTGGCCGAGGACAGAGAGCTGCTGACTCATCCCTGTCCTCCCCCAGGCGCTGCAAGTGTGGCCTCCGTGTGGGCGCCTGTCCATCTCAGCCTGTCCTTTGGACCACACGCTAACCGCCTGGTTCCTGACCCGCAGCCCAGGGTGGACGACGGAGCTGTGGGTGGCTTGGCATGAGGGGTGGGGTGCTTTTACCTGTTTGGATGCTTTTGAAGATTCACAATAAAGTGCTAGTTTTTCCCTGATGGTGCCAGCAGCCCGTGTTTCAGAACCTCCGGCCCACCTCCCACCCCACCCTGCCCCCAAAAGCATCTGTCCCAGCCCCCCACTCCCTCTCCTCACCAGCAGGGCACTGACCAGTCAGCCCACTCCAGGTCATTCCCCCAAATGCTTCCTCACATTCAAGGGCACTCCTTCCATTCCCTTCCCTTTTCTAGTCTTATCTTTTCAGCATTTTAAGGATTCTAGAATCCACTCGCGAAGGCCACTTCTGAGACTGAACTTGTAATTACCCACCAAGCCCTGCCTCTTAGGGAACATGGTTCATTACCTACTTGGTTCCTTGGGGACGCTGTAGGACTATTTGCCCAAGTCGCCTCTTGGGACCCATTCCAGGCCCATCAGGAGGAAGTGTCCAGCCCTATGGGCAGAAGGGGCTGGGCTCCTGGCCAAGCCCAGGCTCCATCATCCGAAGCACCTGAGGCGGGGTGGGGGGCTGTGCCTGGAGAGAACTCAGCCAGTGTGAGCAGTGTTTAATCAGGGCCACCCTCGGTGGGGCACATGGGCTTACATAGACCTTCGAGGTAGGGTCACACTTTCCTGTCTCCGGTCCCTGTGACTCTGTGGCCAGCCCCTCACCTCAGCAGTGTGTGCAGCTCAGGGCTAGCACCCGAGGGAGGGGCCCATCGGACAACAGTCCCAGGCCTGCTGTGGACCAAACGTGGTCCCAGAGCTGCCGGACACAGGAGATGAGGTTTTCCTTGGTCTCTTTCTTTCTTTCTTTCTTTTTTTAGAAAAAGGCAATTACAAACTCCTTTGAAGTTACAGCCATCCTGGCCTGGTGCTGGCCTGCTACTCCAGCTGGTGTTCACTTGACCTGGGGCAGGTGCTCTGGCCAGCGGCAGGGCCCTGGGAGCAGGGAGGCCCGGGAGGCCCACTGCCTGGAGTCCCCTCATCATCCGCACGGGTCAGAGGCTGGATGCAGGAGCAGGACTGGTGCGTCTTCACTTACGCAGGCCTGCGGGGGGAAGCGGGGGGTGCAGGGGTCAGAGCCCCTGGGAGCTGCTCTGGGCAGAAGGGAGGCTCAGGTGGGCTACAGGGCTGCAATCCTCGGGGATGTCATACCCTCTTCCTCTGGAGAGATGGAAATGCAAATAGAACAAAATCCAAAGGGGGAGGGCTTTGGCAAAGGGGTCAGGAGTGAGGGGCTGGGGTTTCCACCCGGGCAGGTCAGGCCTTGTCCCCAGACCTCCTGGTGGGGTTTGAGCAGGTGTGTGTTGGGGGGCTCCACAGCTGGAGGAAAATCCCCTGAGTCCTTTTCAGCCCAGAGTACTCTTTCAGAGCCCCATGTGCCCCATCACCATCTCTCATACACCCTGCCCCGGTTAGGGGGCCTGGGTGAGGCCTCTCCGTCAGGGATGCTGGATGCCTGCTATGTCTGATGGCCTTGGGTGGTGGGAGGCCTTTACTTATGGGGTAGAAAGGCTGGGGAGCTGCCAAGAGGGCCATGGTCCCCAGGGGATGACTGCAGGTGTGGCCCTGAAGGGCAGGCTTGTCTCTAAGGCACAAGTAGGAGGAAGAAAGCACAGCCACACTGAGAGGACCACCAGCCGCAAATTCTGACCCCAAATTTCAGGATCACACGTGGGGCAGGGTTGGTGGCAGAGGCCTAGGCACCCCTCCCCCCAGCCTGGGGTGTGCAGGGCGTGGATACTGCCCTTCAAAAGGGGAGCAGTCTGTTCCTCCAAAGACAGGAAAACGACACCCAAACGTCCTGCCACAGTGAGACGTTGCCTCCCCGGGAGGTGGCCTATTGGTGTCCCCCACCCCAGCCTCCTTGTACAAAACCAGCTCAGACCCAACTCTCACAGACTCTGCTGGACTCAGAGCTCCAGGGCGTGGGGGCCAAGCCCCAGAACCTCTGCCTCCCCACCCAGCCCAGAGACACATGGAGCAGATCTCAGAAAAGGGGACAGATGGATGATGGACAGACAGATGGACACCTGGTGAGGCTGCTTAAGGAGAGGAGCCTTGTGGCTGTGCTGACCTGACTGGCCAGGCCCAGCCGGGGGCAGGCTCTGCTGCCCATACTTACAAGTACGCCTGCTTGAACAAGAGGCTGGAAGGCTTTTCAGTGACATGGTAGAGAGGAAATGGATCAAATCCACCAATGAAATCAACTGAAAAAAACCAAGACCCAAATAAAACAAAACCCAAACAACGGAAAAGATGGCAGATGGAGAACACAGCCAACCACAAATACTTGTGCAGTGATGGCAGGGGCAGAAGCAAGTGGAGGGGGGCCCCGGGAGGGTGACACCACCCCAGGCCGGCTCAGGCCTGGGGACAGAGTGCTCTGGGTGATAGATAGCGCAAGTGTCTTCCGGGGTGAAATGTTTCAATGGACGCTGGCATGCTCAGCCAGGGTATGTGGCCTGGGGAGCCCGGATCCTCTGAGCCTGGGGTTTGGGGGGCTGCACCATGCCCTGTAGGCTCTCCTAGTCATGCCCCCGTCATGTTCACAAACGTCACTCACCCGCCCCTTGGAGCAGTCTGCACAGCTAGTGGGTGACAGGGGCTTTCGGGGCAAACCGAATGCGTTTCTGAACCCCCAGGCTGGCTCCCGTCCTAGAATGTGTTAATGTGACTAACACCCGAAGCCCTTTTGTGTCCTCCCAGCCAGCTGTGTTCTGAGAGTTGGTTGGGTGGCCACGCGGCCCGAGGGCTGAGGAGAGCTGGGAGTCGGTCTGGGAGCAAGTCTGGTCTCTGAGCCACATGGTGCCACTTAGACAAGTGGACTGCCCACCCCAGAGCCACCTGACCCCTGGGACAGAGGCTCTGACTTCCGCTCTGATTCCGACCCCAGGGGAGGGTGTGTCCACAGGTGTGCCCAGCCCCCTGCCCACCCTGGCTTTGTCCTTCTCTGCAGGGTCTTGCCTTGAGACCATGTCACAGCCATGGGTAGTCAGGGCCTGTGAGGGCGGCTGAGTGTTACAAATCAGAGGAAGTTGAAAGGGGCTCGCAGTGGAGGGAAAGTGAAAATGCTGCTCAGTTGGGTCCAGGCCAGTACTGAGGGCCTGGGGAGATGTCCAGCCAGCAGGGCCCGGTTCTCAGCTGCAAGGAGGCAGAGTGGCCCATTCCCCATAGGTCTGAGCCACCTGCAGCAGCTGTGGGGGTCGTGGGAGCCAGCCTTACTGCACAGGAGCCCACAAACCTGCAGGTCTTGGGGTGAGCTGACACCTGGTGCCCACAGCCTGGGACCCCTCCTCGTCTCTTCTCAGGTGGCTAGACCATCCCCCTCTCTGCTCATGCAGAGAACCCTGTGGGCACGGGGACCCATCTAAGGGGGGGGTGTCTCAGGCTGCCCACAGCAAGGCGGGGGAACTCGGAGACACCACCTCAGAGGCCAGCCCTCTGCTCCCCTCTCCCTTCCCCACTGCCTGGCAGGGCAGGGCTGCGTCTCTAAGGGGCTTTTGAGGGAGCCTGCCAGCCATACACTTACAACTGTCTTCTTCCTCCGTGAAAACGCTGACCACGTAGCAGGCATAGACAAAGCCCACCAGCTGAAAGACACCGAGAGGCCGGGGTGAGGACACCAGGTGAGGCTGAGGAGCATCACTGCGAGACGTGGCCAGACAAGCATCTGACTCCCCCAGTGGGGCTGCCCCAGCCCCCGCGGGTGAGGGGGCGACGCATGGGTGAGGGCCTCCCGGGGGTGAACGCTGGCTACTGGACAAGTAAGCCAGGAAGATGACCAAGCCCTGAAGGCAGAAGCCCGTCACCAGAGATGCTCAGACTTAAGGGGAAGGCGGGCAGGCCTGCATTATCCCCCCGAGAACCCCCGGGCACCAGGCCTCCAGGAAGAAAGGGCTCCAGCTGAGATGGGGCAGGGCTGGCACTGCCCATGGACGGACCCCTCTACACTTAGTGGCCTGGGGACACTACCCACGCGGTAAGTCACTCCTGAGCATAGCCTCTACCACCATCAGGGAACGGCCTCCTCTTTGATGAGAATGAGGGGGACCAGCCTTGACTCAGCCAGGGCTGACAGACGTGCTGGGAAGCTCAGGTTTGTGCCCCCTAGTCTTCATGGCCCCCCTCCTTCTGAGGGGAGGACTGCTTGCCTCGCTATTGAAGCACAAACTTGAGAAGCCTTCCCCAGCTGCGTGGGTCTCGGGGGGAGGGCGCCCTGGCGGATGAAGGAGCCCAGAGCCCGGGAGCTGGCCGTGGTGCTGAAAACGCCTCCTGCAGCCATGCTCTTCCTAGGGAGGGGGTGCTGGGGAAATTGCCCCCACCACCACACCTCTGCCTTTCCACAGCCCCCTCCTGTCCATCCTCCCAGCTCCCGCTGCAGCTGCTCCATGAAGCTCTCCCGACGTCAGCAGGACCTGCAGTCCCCACTCTCCCAGCTCTGGGTGCTTGCCCGGGCCGAGCTCTCCGGGTTTCTCCCCTGCCCCCACTGCCCTGGAGGGGACAGACTGCAGAAGCCCCAGTATCCCCGGCCCCACAGCACCACAAGAACATTCAGGTTCTGTCCCCTTGTTTCAGCCTCATGCTGCCCCAGGGTCACAGTGGGACCTGAGCCCATTTTACAGAGCGGACACTGAGGCTCTGGTGGCTCAGGACACACAGGTGGGAAGTCGAGGGGAGTCCTTAACCTGTCTGGCAGAGATGGGGTGAGGAAGGACATTCTGCCCTGGTAGAGGATGGCATGGCTCTCTGCAGGAAAGGCCTGGGACCTGGTCATCTGGGCCCCGTTTGTCCCACAGCTGGGTGAGCCCCCTCCCCTGGCACCCCATGCCCCTCCCCCATGCTCACCGCCACCAGGATCTGCAGGGCGCTGTGCAGGGCCTCCACATAGCTGTGCTCCAGGACGCAGCTGACGCCTGACACTGTGGCCTGGCCACTAGCGGGTCGGAGGCCGGCTGCTGGCTCCTCTCGTTGACACCCAGGGCCATGCTCGCGCCACCAGGAGCGGTGCCGGGAGAGGTTGAAGGTCAGAAGCTCACTGTCCTGGGGGCAAGGGGGTGGGACCAGGTTAGCACTAGGGATACCACCATCCCCCACTCACAGCTCAGCCTGGGCTCCCTGAGAAGGGCGAGGGGTGCCCTGCCTCCCTGCCTCCCTGCCTCTCCTGCCCGGGGGCCCCCTTGGGCTCCAACCACGAGTGGCAGGGCCACCAAAGCCCTTCTAGCTGCTCCCCAGGTATCCAGGCCTGTCTCTGCTTGCCCTCAGTCCTTGGCTCACACCCCCTCCTCTGGGAAGGCCTCTCTGGCCAGGACAGACCCCCAACAGCACGTTCTCAGGCGCCCTGAGCCCCTCCTTCACATTTCGGGCCAATGTCCCCATTGCATGTATTACATATGTCTGGCCCAGGAGTGGCCCCATGAATTAGGGCCAGTTGGCTCTGCTGACCACCACGCCTGGCACCTGGAGTCAAACCCCAGCCCCATTCCTGGCTCTTTCAAGACCCACCTCTGAGCCTCATGCAAGGATGAAAAACAAACGCTATGTGCAAAGTGCCCCCGATAGCCTCTCAGGCAGAGTTTGTTCACCAAGGACACTCCTGGTGAAACGGGACGTGGGTGTGGTCCCCCCACCCCCTCTGCAGGAGAGACCCATGGACTTCACCAGTGTTTGAAAGAATAGAGCAGCCCAGGTGGCAGGAGGGTAGCGTTGCTCTGCCTGGCCTGGCCCCCCGAGGTGGTGTTCCCACCTGCACACCTCTGCCAGGGCTGGTCTCTCTGCTCCCTGGCCCCTGGCCCTTACTCTCTTTTCAGGTGCTGCCCAGGCTCGGAGGCTCCCTCCTCCAGGAAGCCTTCCCTGGTGCATCTCCCCCCAGCTGGAGGCCTCCAATCCACAGATACCCGCAGCCCCTCACCCACCCATCAAATCACTGGTCATTCCCCAGACCTTTACTGAGTCACTGCTGTGGGTCAGGACTGTTCTGGGGGCCATGAGCAGACCCAGCCCTGCCTCTGTGTGTGCCTGTGAGGGGTTAGACAACTAACACATGTGGTGCCCCCATGGCCACACCCCTCCATTTGCATGAGTGTCTCTGGACTTCACTCACCTTTGAGAGGCCCCCCACTTCCAGGTAGAAGCAGATGATGAAGATGTTCCAGGTGACCCAGATGGCCACCCATACAGCGTACTAGGGAAACACAGGGGGTGGGCAGAGCAGGTGAACCCAGCTCTCCAGGAGGAGGGGCCCACCCTGCTTTTGCCCGTGGGGAAGACGCCATGGAAGCCTCTGCAGGGGCAGTGGAGCTGCTCCCAGGTCTCAGTGTGGGGCCTTCCCGCGCTACACCAACAGGGCAACGGGGCTCCTGCTTTCTGCTTTGGAGGGGTGCCCAGGAGGTGGGGCCGCCAGGAACAGCCAGCTGTGGGGGACCCTTTCCTACTTCACGTTCTGGCCCAGAGATGCCTGTGGCCCATCCAAGGTGGACGAATGACAAGCAAGGGCATGAGTGGTCTGAACTGCAGAGTGGCCTGACTCCCCCAAATCTCCGTAAAAGAGCACTCCAGAGAGTTGCCAGCTGGGAGTAGAAGGCTACGGGCCAGCACCTGCTGCTATAAAGTCTTCCAGGGGCACCGCACGCCCGCTTATCCACTACTGCTCAGGGCTGTGCCTGTGCCACGGCCAAGGCTGTGGACCTTTGCAAGAGAAGTTTGCTACAAACCCCAATCTAGACCAGTTATCTTCCTCTGCACTTGAAAATGCTGCACTGATCAGAGCAAACCTTGCTGGATGTCATTCAAGCTTCTGCAGGGGCAGGACGGCAGCATGCAGGGGCCCGGGCTGGGGCACCCCAGGTCCAGTCCTGCCCTGGGCTTGGACACCTGCTCTGTGCCTCAGTTTCCAGGTCGGAATTCTAGATGTCTGGGTTGTGGAAAGGTTTGAGCCTGGTGGTCTGGGAAGATGGTGAGTGGCTAAAATTCTGGCCTTCCCGGGTGTTCTGGTGGTTTCTAGGGCAATATGCCACCGGAGGGCCCCATGCTGGCCATCCAGCCCACTTGCCTGCAGCAAGGGGCCCAGCGCAGAGGACTCACCAGCACGATGTAACGAGGCCGGTACTGGATGGTGCCAAAGAGCCCCAGGATGACCATGACGATGTGGGTGAACGTGGCCAAGATGGGGGCCCACTGGTAGCCCAGGAAGTCGAACACCTGGCGCTCCAGGGCAGTGACCTAGGGCAGGGCCAGCGTGTGAGGGGCAGCGGAGCCCTGAGGGAACTCCTGCCTAATCACCCCTCTGGAGGGCCTGCTGTGCTCTTGGCTCTTCCAACAAAAGTCTCCAGATGAGTCCACCGGCCCCCACATCTCTCCACTGGGTGTTCCTTCTGCTTTGATAGGTCCTCTTGGAGAAAACCCCCACCCTCAGCTGCTGCTTCCTCTGGACAAAGAGAACTTGAGGGGGGGGTTTGCACACAACGAACACAGGGCGGCAAGTGCATGCAGCATAGCACCGGAGCTCCACAGCTACACCTTCCGTCTGCTGGGCTCTCTTGTGCTTTGGGGACAAGGAGGGGCAAGGCTGCTCCTGCACTTTGAGGCCATTCTCACCCCTCCAGCTCTGTAGATGCCGACCCTGTAGGAACGGCTGACAGAGGACCAACTGGAGGAATCAGATGCCTAAGGAACTTGATGTTTTATATATAGGAAAACCAGCTGGTTCTGAGCTGTCATGATTCCAGAAAGCATTCATTCATTCATTCATTCATTCATTCATTCATCATGTTTGTGGGCCGGGCCATTACACACGCTGGTGTAGAGGAAACACTGGGAAAAAGTGCTGCGGAATCCTTTGCATCCAGAGAGGGCTGGGAGGGACCCGCTGCATCCTGGAAAGACGGTTGTGGAGGGAGGACAGCATCCCGGCAGGGCAGTTCCCCGTGGTGCGCATGGCTGCATTCCACTGTGGGCTTACTGTGCACCCAATGCTGTCGGCACTGGGAGAACTAGAGGCCAGTCCCTGACCCAGAGTGACCTCTGGTGGGTGGGCTGGGGGCCACTCGCTGAACTCTGGGACTAGGGGAGAGCTCTGAAAGGTGGGGGAGGGACGGGGCGCCTCCAAGCAGGCACCAGGCATTATAGGGAGAAACAAGAGTCTTCTCACAGCTGGTCACCACACACCCTTCCCCGAGATTGGACAGCTGTAACCAAGAGCGCACAGAACTGAGACAGAGGGTGGGGGCAGGATGGGGCACCCAGGAGCAGCCTCCACCTCCCACAGGGTCCCCCAGCATTGTGACGGGAAAGAGCCCAGCAGAGTGAGCCTTCATGGGTTTCCCTGGGGTCACTGGGCCTACTAGCTACAGATGCCTCGACCTCAGCCAGAGCACTCGACCCTTCCCCACCCCCCAGCACCCCTTTGCTTGCTCTCGACCTGTGTCCTGGAGTCCTCGTGGGACCCCGACCGGTCCCCAGAAACAGCTGCTGTGGGTGTGTCCTGGGCACTGTCCAGGTCACTGTGGATGGCCCCAAGGGGGTGGCGGCTATTTCCAGGAGGTCTTGTGCAGGGGGACATTCCAAGCATGACCTTCAGGGAACTGGGGTCAGCCCTTGGAGACAGCTGGGCGTGGAGAATGGGAGCAGGCCTGCCTGCACACATGGCACGGGGAAATTTCCCACGGGATGTGCTCCCCAGGCTCTGGCCACCTTCCCTCATGTCACAGCTTGTCCTACCTGCAGGCCTGCCGCGGGTTGCTCTAGATGAGTCCCCTTGAGGCTGTGACTGCAGCTAGGAGGTGGTGGGTTTGTCCCCTCCTGAGAGGCGAGGCCCACTGTCTCCAAGGATAACCAGGGTCGGCCAAGTGGCCGTGAGGAATCTCAGACACTCCTGGCTGTGTGAATTCTGCCTGACTTTACCCCTAGAGCCCCATGCGCCTGGCACAGAGAGTGGGTTCGTAGCCTGGATTGAAATGAGAGTCTTGCACGCCCTTGTTAATGGCTAAATCTGAGGGGTGGTCTTCAGGGGCTGCTCCCAGAAGGGAGACCCTGCAGCACGGGCGGAGGCTGTGTGGGGGTCTCTTTTTGTCTTTTTTGTTTTTAAGCCAAGACACAGGAAGGCTGGGGGCTGCGGCCATTCTCAAGTCAGGGAGGAGATGAGTGCCGCCCACCACCCGAACCCTTTGCTGAGTCCTCCCTCCCGTCTTGTCACCATGGCAGGGCACAGCCTGGGAAAAAGCTTCAATGCTCGGCAGGCTCAGAGCAGGCAAAGTTCACGCTATTCTTCATAGAAGGCTCTGAGAGGACATGCTCAGGCCTTCGTCCCGTAGCTGGGTAACGAGGAAACTCTCACGCTTGTCAAAAAGAGAAAAGAAAAGCCACAGGATACCCCCGCGGGCTTCCCCCTCAGACCCCTCACCCCGCACACAGTGACCAGAGTGGTGGGTGATGTCAGGCCTCCTCTTACTCTGCCATCCCCTCCACCCGGCAGAGGAGGGACAGAGGACAGCCAGGACAAAAGGCTTTTCACAGCTCCCTGCTGGCCTTGTGGGGACACAGCTCTGGCCAGGCCCTGGGGCTCGCCTGGCTGAGACTAAGAGTCTGCCAGAAGCCCCATGGCCCAGGGAACCCTGCAGCCCTAAGCCAAGATAACCCCTCCCCCTTAGCTGCAGCCAGATTTCCAGGGGCCTGCGGGGGCGCCTGTCTATCCTCTGTCCACTGTCCGCTTCAGAAGTTAAACAGGCAATGTTACCAGACCTGACCCTTCCGAGCACAGAGGCCACACCCCTCACCCAGCACATCCACTTCTCCTGCCTGGAATCCCAGCCCACTTGTCCACCCCAAGTGCCTCCCACACACCAAACTCAACACATCGAAACCAAACCACAGTCACAGCATTCCCAAAACGCTCTGCTTCTTATTGTCCAGACACTGCCTCCTAAGGGGGTTACAGCCGGAGGGAGCCTCTCACCTAAAGACAGTGAGTGGCAAGGCTTGCAATAGCCCCCTACTGCCCGTGGGCCTCATAGCGTTTTGTAGTGTAGGGCCTCTCCCAGCCTCATCAGCACAAACCCTGCAGACCCCATCTCCCTCCATGCTCCCCATTGCCCCACCCCTCAGGCTTCCACAGCAGAGCCTGCCCCACAGGGAGACTCTGGCAGCTTCCTCCAGGGAGGACACACCAGGCAACGTATCTCAGCCCCCTGCCAGCTTGGCCAGAAGGCCCTGCCCCCAGGCAAAGGACAGGACATCAACCCATGCACAGCCACGAGTGCAAGAGGACTTTCTGCTCACAGCCTCTCTGAAGCAGCCCCTCTGTCCTCCTGGACCCTCCCTTCAAGAGGAGGAAGCTCCCAGCCCAGCAGAGCCAGAGCAAACACAGTGAGGCCTCAACAAAGCAGAGACCCAGGAGCCCAGTCCTGTATTTAGCCCCCTCCCCCAGGGCAGCGGGCTCTGGGAAGGGGTATGACCTGGCATCCTGGAGCTCCAAGAGCAAAGTGGAAACTTGGCTAAGGGGTGGCCAAGTTCTCCACAAAGCTCTGTGTCCAGCGGCCCAGCTAATCCGGGACACAAAAGACGCTCAAGTGCAGGCCTGGTCACTGGCTCCAACCCCCACCCCCCCTCCAGTCCACTCTCCATCTCTCCGGGGGAACCCTCCTCCAGCTTGAGGGACGCCTGGGAGGGCAGGGCCTGGCTCAAGCCCCCTCCCAACACACACACACACACACACACACTCACACACACTCACACTCCCCATCTCCCAAGCACTCCCCACCCAGGGGGCTGTCAGGCCGCAGAAACAGAACTCCGCTGCTCATTCGGGGCCTGGCGCTGGAACACTCGCAAGCTCTACTTGCGCGCGCACTCGGAGCCACACACACCTTCCCCGACACGCGCGGACCGCTCGCGCAGCAGCGCCCCTCCCTGACCGCGCTGCGCCCACGGGACTTGTTGAGTTCCCGACCCAAGGCGCTGGCGAGAGCAGGATCCAGGCGCCCCGCCGCCCGAAGGCTTTTGTTCCGCGCGGGCCCCTTCCAGCCGCTCCCCAGCACCTGTCCCTGCCGCTGGGGACATTGCGGCCACCCCCGCGCGTGCACACACAGCAGGACGCGCAGAGCGGGCCGGAGGGGCCGGAGGGGTCGCGCCTAGGGCATTGGCTTCCCACGCCCCCCGGGGCGGCGGCGAACTTCAGCCTCAGGAGCCCGCGGGTCCCAGCGGTCCCCTGCAGGGAGCTCCCCCAGGCTGGCGCGGACCCAGCGAGCTGGGCTTGGGGCGGGGGACGGCGCCCGGACCCCCTAGAGCGCTGGGACTGCGGGGGTCCGAGGAGAGGCCGGCACTCACCAGCTGGAAAGTGCAGAGGAAGATGAGCGTGCAGCGGCCGGAACAGCAGCCCATGGCGCCGCCTCTGCTGTCTGGACCCGGAGCCACCCGCAAGGGGAGCCCGGCGTCTGGGCCCACGATCCTGCCGCCCCCGGCCCCGCCCCCGCCCCTGGGCCCCG